TCACATTATATTATAAAACATTCTCATGTCACACTATCACCTTATTATATCATATTGTGTTGTATCACCTTATATCACTCTGCACAGCTTTGTGTCACAATTTACATCGAATTGAATGACATTGTATCATATTGTGTTATATCACATTACAAGTCTTTGGTTTCAATCTACATTATAAGACACTGAGGGGAATCTATCAAAACTGGAGCAGACAGAATCTGGAGCAGCTGTGCACGGCAACCAATCAGCTTCTCTCTTCAGTTTGTTCCGTTAAAGGAGAACTATGGGGTCAGGGCATTTCCCCATTTCTCCCATAGTTCTCCTTTAGGAGTTGAAAATGAAAGAGAGAAGCTGATTGGTTGCCGTGCACAGCTGCTCCAGATCCCGTCTGCTCCAGTTTTGATCAATTCCCCCCATGATCTTTTCGCCTGGTCTGATATTGTATTACATTGTATCGTCACTTTGTGTCACATCATATTACAGGACCTTCCACCCCCTCACCGTGCACTGTATATATCGCACACAAGTCTGTAGCGCGGTACAATGTTATGATATGAGGTCTCTGTGGTAGGTGCACACAGTTATTTCCCCCCCGCCAGTGTTATGGGAGGAAGTCTCTTTATCAGATCCCGGGGGTAGTCAGCAGTGTGATCCCAGCACTAGTCCTGCCCCTGTCTACACGCAGCCCTTGTCACACTGTATATATAGTGACACTTATTACTACCGCAGAACCTTTACACAAATGTTATCACTGCTGAGATAAAGTTTTATCATGGAGGTTAATTGGGGGTAATATCACGCTGGATATCACGCTGTGTTGTAAATTCAGAAATGAATTGAACTTATTAGACTTCCGCCGTTGCCGAGCAGCCAGCAGTGGAAAGTCGATGGATGTAACTGCCCGGCTGCAATGCTTCACAGAAATATTCAACATGCATGCACCTGCAACGACTTCATTGTGACTGAGAGGTGACAGCCAATCAGATTCAGACTTTCATGAGTCAGGGCAGCCTGGGTGATGCTAGGTGGAGGCTGACTGGTTGCCCTGAGTTGCTGCAGTCTGGGTGGTACTGTGGTCCCCGTAGATGATGTATTATATGTATCCTGCCACAGATAAAGTTGCATATTTTCTTTTTCTGTGGATTTAATTCATCTTTAGATCTTTACACAGCAAAAGTTGTTGTTTTTTTTTTGAGTCTTTTTAGTTGTTTTTTGTTTTTAAAGTCACAAAAGAAAAGTTTTCGCTTTTGCAGCGCCGGCACTTCAGCTCTGCGGCGGTAGATGCTATATTTAGCTGTTCAGGAAATGGCGCGTCTTTGTCAGAGGTGTCAGGTGAAGAGACGTCGCTGCGCCGAGGATTCGCCGCTCAGAGAAAACGCTGAAATGTGACAAGTTTTCCGAGCTGAACTTTCAGGCCTCGTGCACACACAACGCAAGAGCCGGATTGTATATTGCGTATATACGCGCGTAGGCGTATGTATACGCATACGTGCGCATGTGCGTGCACTATATGCAATCCCAGAATGCATCATTCGTAATAGAAATTTTCATGAGCTGTGCGCGCGTATATGCGCAGAAATCCGCTGCCCGGACGCATCTCGGGTCCATTCTGTTTTTGCGCACATTTACGCTACGCAAATATACGGCTCCATACGCGGCTACGTGCATGGAGCCATTGATTTGCATATGCTGCATATGGGAGAATACGCACGTAGGCGCACATACGCAGCGTATTGTACGGCAGTGTGAATGAGGCCTAAGAGTGAAACATTGTTTAAAGGAGAACTGTGAGGGGGGTCGATGTCGGGATCCGCGCCGCCGTCTCAGTATACCGCGAGCTGTAGCTCCCTATATACTGAGCCTAGGGTGACGGGAGGACGCTAGTTTGTGTCCTCCCGTTACCCTAAGGAGAACTATGAGGTAAAAGCCCTGACCTCATAGTTCTCCTTTTAAAAAAAAGAGTTAATTTTGTAGCATTTCCTATGAAGGTGAATTCCGGGCGAAGCAGAAGTGCGGCCAAATAATAGAATAAGAAAACCAGCTCTTGCTGCAATATTCACCTTCAATTTTTTACTCTGTTCAGCCACTAGATGTCCTCAGTCTGATGTCCAGCATCATTCAACCCACTTCCCATGAGCCCAGGTCATCCTTGAACCGGCCCCCAGCTTGTGATTGGACAGTGAAAGGAAAAGCAGGACAGTGACGAATGTATCTCACTGTGCTCTCTCCTTCCATCAGCATGCCCTTGTACGTATTGGCTATTTATGCTTCTTCTTTCTGCACGGAGACTGCAGCGGGCTGATACCAGGCCACATACACTGCTTTGCTTCCATTTAATAATACATCTAAGGAGCTGCATTCATTTGTGTCTTTTGTATCGGCCCGGAGTTCGGATTTAAGTACATTTTTATGACGTAACTAAAGTAGTTACATTGTATCTTTTAAATCACTTGCCCAGCAGAGCTCAGACTGGGAGAAGGAGGGGGTATCACTGGGTCTGCTGCAGTGCTGATAGAAGAAGAGAACGGAGTGAAAGGAATGACTTCTTCAGTGAACTGTCGCTGTTTCACTATCCAATCGCAGGGCTGGGGGAGGGGAGGTGACTGGAAAATTGCGGTCAGCGGTGTGGCGGCGCTTAGTGGCAGAGCTTTGTAAATCTCCAGACTGGATGGGCAGAAATAGAAATCATTAGGCAGGTGGGACGGCCCCCCGTATGTGTATTTAGGGGATTTCCTGGAGGGCGCGATTGCCGTTCCAGATTCTCATCACACATTGAAGATCCTCCATTAGTGCCCGCAGCTCGGCGGAGGAGGAAGCGGAGACCGCGGGCGTAATGAGGGAACTGCCAGCTACGGAACACGAGGCGTTATTTCTATCACATTCACCTGTAATAACCGGCCACAGAGCGCGGATTGGTGTTATGGTGATATTACATTCATGCCGGGCTGGGGCTATGGATAAGGTTAGGGAGTTAGATTATTGCTACAGTTAGGAGGTTAGGGTTATGGCTAGGGGGTTAGGGCTGGGGGGTTAGGGTTAGGGGGTTAGGGTTATGGCTAGGGGGTTAGTTTATGATGTTGTGTAGAAATGTTGGAGCCTCAGATTTAAATTGCTGCCAGTGGCCCCCATTGTGCTGATTCCTTCTTACATCCCACTAGTGTTAGGAGGTTAGGGTTATGGGGTTATGGCTAGGGGGTTAGGGTTATGGCAAGGGTTAGGGGGTTAGGGTTATGGCTAGGTTTAGGAGGTTAGTGTTAGGGGGTTAGGGTTATGGCTAGGGTTAGGAGGTTAGGGTTAAGTTTAGGATTAGGAGGTTAGGGTTAGGGTTAGGGTTATGGCTACTGTTAGGGGGTTAGGGTTATGGGGTTGGGGTTAGGGTGTTATCGTTAGGGTTAGGGTTAGGGTTAGGGTTAGGGTTAGGGTTAGGGTTAAGTTTAGGGTTAGGAGGTTAGGGTTAAGTTTAGGGTTAGGAGGTTAGGGTTAAGTTTAGGATTAGGAGGTTAGGGTTATGGCTAGGGTTAGGAGGTTAGGGTTATGGCTAGGGTTAGGAGGTTAGGGTTAAGTTTAGGATTAGGAGGTTAGGGTTAGGGTTAGGGTTATGGCTACTGTTAGGGGGTTAGGGTTATGGGGTTGGGGTTAGGGTGTTATCGTTAGGGTTAAGTTTAGGGTTAGGGTTAGGGTTAGGGTTAAGTTTAGGGTTAGGAGGTTAGGGTTAAGTTTAGGGTTAGGAGGTTAGGGTTAAGTTTAGGATTAGGAGGTTAGGGTTAAGTTTAGGGTTAGGAGGTTAGGGTGTTATCGTTAGGGTTAAGTTTAGGGTTAGGGTTAAGTTTAGGATTAGGAGGTTAGGGTTAGGAGGTTAGGGTTAATTTAGGATTAGGAGGTTAGGATTAAGTTTAGGGTTAGGGCTGTGTAGTTAGGTTTCGGGTTTTTCTAATGTTGGATGTTGTGTAGAAATGTTGGAGCCTCAGATTTAAATTGCTGCCAGTGGCCCCCATTGTGCTGATTCCTTCTTACATCCCGCTAGCGTTAGGGGGTTAGGGTTAGAGGGTTAGGAGGTTAGGTCTACGTTTAGGGGGTTAGGGTTAGAGGGTTAGGTCTAGGGTTAGGAGGTTAGGTCTACGTTTAGGGGGTTAGGGTTATGGTTAGGGGGTTGGAGTTAGGTTTTTCTCATTTTGGATGTTGTTTAGAACGGTTGGAGCCTCAGATTTAAGTTGCCTTAGTGACACCTGTTCCACATCAGCACTCGCGGTGTCACCAGGACAGGAAGTGAAAGGAAATCTCTGGCTGTTGTAGTTTTGCTGTCTGAGTCAGGATTACATTGATGGCGACTCTCCGTAGCGGCCTCGGATCGGATTTCGGGGGCAGGACGGAGAGCGTCAGAAGTGTGATTAATGATTTAATAAAAGTATTTCCTAATAACAGTCACATTCAGCTGCCCCGACGCGTTTCGGGAGCTCACAGGTTCCCTTCCTCGGGGCTGAGAGGAGACAATAGAAAGGACACGGTCAGTGTTATCCTGGTTGCTGCGTTGCGCGTGCAGACTGTGCGTCAGGATTTAGGGATCATTAACACCCGGGCGTGCTGCGGTATTGCGCTCTCTATCGCTCGGCACAGTAACATGTTACGAGTGTTGGTGCAATTTGAAATGAAGGGCGCTCCAACACAATGCGTGTGTGCTGCAACACGCCACAGCACAGCACCACACACGGTGTCCTGTGCATTGCACTGTGAGAGGACAGCAGCCTACCTTAGTCTGAGGGCTCTTAGGAGGAGTACTGAGGCAGGGTGCTGTGATGGAAGGTATGTACAGCACCCTGCTGGCCCCTCCCACCAGACATGACCTGCCTGCATTGCATAGGGAAGCACAGAGATCCAGTGATGACATCACAGTGTGTAATGGAAAGGTTTTATATGTCATTATCATGTTGATGGGGGGGGGAGGGAAAGGGGAAGATCCCGTCTGATACTTTCTTACCACGTCCTGTTTTCATTCTCTCCCGTCAGATGTGTGAACGTAACACGGGTCGGAGGCTGCGGCAGTGGCTCATCGAGCAGATCGACAGCGGGCACTACCCCGGGCTCATCTGGGAGAACGACGGCAAAAGTCTCTTCCGAATCCCCTGGAAACACGCCGGGAAGCAGGATTACAATCAGGAAGTGGACGCCTCCATCTTCAAAGTAAATTCTGGCTCCGCCTCCTGGTCACAAAACCACTTCCGGGGGGTTGGATTTTCCAGCAGAATCCCCCGAAATGCATCAATGGATGACTGAGCGAAGGGAACAGGTCCGATGGGGGAGATTCCTGGGTGAAAAGCCTCAAGTGGAAGCTCCCGGGCTGCACTGTGACTTTCCTCCCAATGGGGGCGGGTTCACCTTCTTGGGCTTCCATCCGAAGCTTCTCACACAGGAACTCACATTGCTGTCCCTTGAAAGGGATTCTCCTGAGAAAAAAACAACAACCGGTATGTGATGGCCCTTTCAGGCCAGAGGAGGTCACTTGGGAAAGGGGGTTAGGGTTCTTAAATCTGCCCAGACCCCAATCAGACTCCACCCACTTAGTGGGTTGGCCCACCCAAACCCCACCCTAATTATGTGGGGACCGCCCACTTGAACCCCCAATCACCATAATGAATGCCTCATTGCTTTACCTTGCATGCACAGCAACTCAGATAAGGGTGACACTGTGATCCCCGGACAGAGCTGAGGGAGGAGCCCAACTGGCCCCACCCACTACAGGAACCTACAGGAGGGGGCGGAGACAAGACCAGTCACCTTGCACAAGGAGAGAGATCAGCAGTGACCGGTCTTTATTACAGGAGGGGGCGGAGACAAGACCAGTCACCCTGCACAAGGAGAGAGAGCAACAGTGACCGGTCTTTATTACAGG